TGGGAATCTCTGTGATATCCAATGTGCCTGTGAAACTCCTCCCTTCTGTAGTATTTCGGTCTGGAATTTGCCTCGAGCACGTGACAGTGTGCTAGCTTAATTTACAGGCTGCTAACTGGCTAACAGCTATTCCCTTCAACTCAGTTGCCTATGTTGATTGTCAGGTGAGAGTTTATGATTAAAAAGAACTTGTTTATCTCATTTTAACACATGGTGAATCTGAGTAATGTTACTCTGCTAAAATATGGTTATACATTATATACAGTCAAATTGTCATTATGACTCATTGAGCCATTCATACATTTTTTAATGAAATATTTATTTGTTGCCATGCAATATTGGTCCTGTTTTTGTCTCAGTAATGTTCCAAGCACATATTCCAAACTACGGTAAATATGCTGGCAGAAATCATGCTTCATATCACAGGCCCTGTTCGTACCTGGTACTAACGTGCGTGTGGAGTGATCTGATCACAAGAGGACAGCACTAAATGCAAGTGTAAATGACCACTTAGACGCATTGTAATCCAATAACCGCTTGCTCAGGTAGTCTGTGGCGTATTTGACCACATATCTTTTGTAGTGTAAACACTTATGTGTCCCAATGCGTCCCTGACAAGGACTATGTTGTCAGTGCAGGACATGGTGATTGTTTTGGTCACGGCGTCCTAACAATCAGTCATCATCCATCGTTTTACCCCATGGAAGTAGACCTGTTGGATTCTGTTGACAGTGATATTTCCAGCTGTATTGACACAACCGCTAACTTGACTTGTGAGCACGCCAGTGAGCAGTTACCGAGAGTGTGGGTGTAATGACTGTGCACAGTGCCCTTTGACTTACTACTGTAAATGACATGGGCAGTAAAGAAAACAGAACACACATGGTCAGCAGGAGACACATGATAGACACAGGTGTGATCTGTGATGTGTCATGGCTGTCCACTGGTGTTCAGATCACTGAAATGCACGTTAATACCAGGTGACAAGCTCATAGTTAATTAAAGAGTATAAACACAATTTCTAACCCTGTTGATCACATGGCAGTAGTCATCTATTCATTACCCAGATGAGGCAAACCCTCCCATTGTCCCTTTACGTCACAGAGTAAATAAGACAGTTTAAACACACATAACTGTGTTATGTTGTGTTAATATTTGAACATCATACAGGTCAGTAAGTCTGGAAATGTCTTTCTACATTTTTTATTAGAACACATTGGCTTATCAACATCTGAAACTGTTTTACAAAATGTTCTTGTAAATATCTGTTCTCAAGAGCCAAGAGGACTCTCAATCCAACCACACAAAGGAGGAGGTGGTCAGACTGAACAACCAGATCAGTGATCTGTCACAGGTACGTCATTTTAGAAAGGTTTGTTTTATGAATGAGTCATATGTATGTTGTGTGGAATAGTTCCAGTTATTAATTAAACCTCCTCACAGGAAAATGAGGAGCTGCGGAGCTCTCTGCTGCAAGCACAGACGAACATCGCCATCCTGCACGCAGAGCTGGACAAGCTGAAGAATATGTACGCAGACCAGAAAGCTCAACATGACAGGTGAGGCAGTGTCTTTAAGCTTGGCTCAGTTCATGTCTGTTGACACAAAATATGATCTTGGATCCAGCTCATGTGGCTTTTGTTTCTTTACAGAGAAACAGAAGAACTGAAGAGGATGGTTTTAGAGTACCAGTCATATTCCAGTCAGATCCAGATTCTCCAGTAAGACCGTCTTTCACTTGATAAAGCTGTTGTGTATTTCTGCCAGTGCTTGAGTAAGAGCCTGTAAGTCATAATAAGGGGAAACTTTCTCAATATAATGGCTTCATATCTCAAAATAATGACTTAACTTTCTCAGTATTTTGACTGACCACATGATAGGCCAAAGTCAAAATATGAAGTCTCGTATTATTTTGACATATTAGGTCACTATTTGGAGATAAGAAAGTCATTATTGTGAGAAAGTTTCTCATTATTTTGCAATTCGAAGTCATTATTTTGAGTTTCTCATAAAAATGACAGGATCTTTTGTTTGTTTTTCATCACAGTGGCAGAAATGGGCTTTCGTAGTTAAGTGTGGACATTTAGTAAGATTTTTTTTTTCTGGTGTCCTAATTAAGACTGCAGAGATTTTGTAATACCTTGTCATAAAAAGTTAATAATTACCATCCTTTTTTTTTAAAGGTTTGGTTCAACAAAATGAAAAATCCTCATCCACATTTACCTCTGGCTCTATCCAGCCAGGCAAGATAGTTTCAATTTAATTGCTCATGCTTTGAGATTTCTGTTACCACAAAATACAGTAGATGGGAGTTGAATTGTTGTTGTACAAGTTTATTAACTGGGATAAACCCCTTGAGATGAGCCGTCTTGTTTTTGAGGGAATTTTGTTTGTGGGGCTCATTTAAAGTTAAAAGTCCCTGTCCCATGGAGAACATGCAAACTCCAGAGTATTTCCATTTTATGTAATTTGTGTTAACCACTCCATTAAACATACCTAAATTACCAGAACAACAGGACAGTGCAGACTATATGAGGTACACCGTAAAAGAATAAACGTGTACTAATTTGACTTGCGAATGCTTTTCTGGGCTCTTTTTTTATGCCCTCATGCTGGTTACAGCTGTGGCCGCAGGCTTTATGTTTTCTATCTGTACATCTGTCTGTCCCAATCTCATGAATGTGATAGCTCAAGAAGGCATTAAGGAGAATTTATTTAAATTTGGCACAGATGTCCATTTGGATTCAACAATGGAGTGATTAGATTTTGGGGATCAAAGGTCAAAGATCACTGTGACCTCACAAAACATACTTTTGGCCATAACTCAAGAATTCACATGTGTATTATGACACAATTTCACTCAAATGTCTCAGAGGATTAAATGATGAAGTGATGACATTTCATATCCAAAAGGTCAAAGGTCAGCGTCACTGTGACAAAGTAATGTTCTGCAAAGACACATTTTCCTGACCCTTATTCAACACCATCACTCAGGAACAGAAGGGGAGACATTTGGTCAGATACTGAAGTGGTGACATCAATCTTTGGTGTCCACCTTGAAACTGTGTTGATTGTGTAGATGTTCTGTGCTGCTCAGGGGAAAATCTGTGCACAGCATCCATGTTTGTCCATCCATTTTGTAGCTTCTTTGCAGCAACATTCATATTTGAAATACCATCTACTGTCATGGCTACATATGAGTCTGGACAGATGTGAACTGTAACTGCAACTCAACTGATTCACAGAGGCATACAACTGTGAGGCAGTAATTCTAGTTGTGTAAATGTTTTTTTTTTTTACACTACATACAAAGCACATCTTGACTTACCAATACAACGTGTTTACCACACCACAGTTCCTGAAAGTAAATGTTTGTATATGTATGTGACTCTGTCTTGTATTTCCTTGAACACATCATCAGGGAAACAAACAAAAAGCTGTATGACAGTAATGACGGGCTGCGCTCTGCGTTGGCCACTGAAGCGGTTGCAGCCAAAAGGAGGGTGAGTCCTTTGTTTCCTGATGACATATTTCCTCATACCCACTGGCTCTGCATCAGATAGAAGCTAACAGTAAATTGTTTTCACTAGTTCAAGTGTAAAAAAAGTTTCCTCCCTGACATTCCTAATCTGCTCAACAGCTGTCTCCCCAAAATGAAATCCCGGCCCGAAGGATGAAGCCCCTCCGGCAGAGCACACTCAACCATGGCAGGTATATAAAGTTTTTTACACACCTCTGTGAATCTGCGGATTGATCTTGCTGAATTAAATTGTCACAGCTAAACCAAGCGTGTGTGTCTGTGCGTTGGTGCAGCTCGGAGCCAGATCCCAGCAAAACGACCTACTCTCATGTGGCCACCTGGGCCGATAAGTACCTGGACAGTGGAGTCTCGCTGCCCATGGACACAGCTGAGAGCTCAGGGAGCGATTACGACAGCGACGACAGTAGGGACTCAGTGGAAACTGTGCACCACAGTTACTCATACGTCCCATCTGATGTGGAGGTCAGAACACACTCCAGGTTTAGTTATCGGGTCAGATAATGCCAACATGAAGACTTTAAAGTACTATTTACTTTGTTACAGATATCAGACATGAAATCTGAAGCTGCAGTGTCGATGGCTCCTAGCAAGGCGAGCTCTCTTGCATCATCCCTACGAAGACGTTTGTCTGCATTTTCTACAAAGGTACAGTGGTTTTTGAATGCACAAGATCCCTCCAGTAAGCATTCATTTTGGTGATTTGTTTGTCAAGACTTCTGGGTTACGACTAGACTACATTGTCTTTCAGCCATTCTGACGGTGTGGCTCCAGAGGTGGCAAACAATTTCCACTTGTAGCCTCTTGTCATGGCTTCAAGTGTCCACCAGTTGAGAGTAGTTCTATGATATACTCCCTATGTTAGGTTAAAGGACAAAACACATCGTCGGCGAACATTGCGTGTCAAAAAATATGCTCCTATTATTGTCAATGTGCAACCCCATACCAGCGGCAGCAGGACGCACCACCCAATGGCACTATATGCCACTGTCCTATTTCCAGCCTCAACACTCCTAGAATTAAATGCATTTTTCCCCACTTGTGCTGCTTGTACGTACCAGCTCCCGGAGCAGCTCTTTTCTCTGCTCCTATGGCAGCTCGACTCCTCTCCTCACTATTAATGCAAAGAGAACTCTGTTGCTGTTGCCGTGTCACGTGTGTGACAAAGACTGGATGAAGAGAGAGACTCCTTGTTGAGGTCGAGAAATAGCCTGAGCTTTATGACCCACAATCCCGTCACTATAAAGTCAATGGCCAAAAAGATTTTGCCTGGCAAGTCTTGTCCCTGGAGATTGGCTCTTCAGGTGGGCAATCAAGTTTAATTAGGGGATGTCCACACATGATTTTAAGTTAATGCGGGGGTGGTAGTGGTAGATCTTTCAGTAAAAGTAGTAATAACTTTGGGTCGAGCTGCACTTGATGCGCTGCAGGGTCTGTGTGTTTTCAGCTCAACAGTCTCAAAGGAGTAAAATTTACCTTTTTTTAAAAAAAAGAAGAAAAAAAAAGCAACGTAAAAATCCATGAACAAACATAGTACGTGTAGCAGAATTTTTTTCTTCCCCATTAATCGTCTCATGCCCCTCAGATTTATATTGCAACCCCCAGGTTCAGAACCACTTACACAATCAGATCAAGGTTTTTCATTTGTCCAATACTTTGTTTATGACCAAATATCTGCAAAACTAATGACATTCTCATCAGCCTCTGTGTTTAGTGCTAATCAACAAATGTTACCGTGCTAGCACGCTAAACTAGGATGGTCAACACGGTAAACATTAAACTTGTTAAACATCAGTATTGTCAATGTTAGCATGCTGATGTTAGCATTTAGCTCAAAGTCCGGCTGCATCTACGTAGTGTCACAGCCTCACAGCTGTTAGCACACCTGTAGACTCTCAGTCTTGAGAAGATGTCAAGGTTACATATAACTGTAGCTAACGCTGCAGTTTAAATGACTGAATTTCAATGTGCATTTTGAATACATATTGAAATATGGTCACTGGAAGTTGTATAAAATTGGAAAATGTTTCTTAAACCAAATTGTTCCTGGTTTAAACATCTTTTGACCTGCAGGTAACTAAATTATTTTGGAACAAAACAGTTTTCATCAGCAGATTGTGTTCAGTCATCATCATGTGAGCTAAGTCTGAAACTCGAATCATGTGAGAACAGGTGGTTGTATCAAAGACTGGCAGATGTGATTGAAAGCTTCTGGAAAAACAATAATGCAGACCTTGAGTTTAGGCAAGAAAAAACATTCACACTCAACTAAATAAATGCCTACTGTTTTCTTTATTTACTACAAACAAAAAGATTTTCCATGTTAAAGAGGGTAAGCTTGTTATCTTCTGTTGTATTTCTGAAGCCTTTAGAAGCAGACATAGTAGAATCTGAGGAACCTACTCCGATGTACCGTCTGGTTTTAGCCGGAGACGCAGGAGCTGGAAAGTCCAGCTTCCTGCTGAGACTGACACTTAACGAGTTCAGGGGAGACATTCAGACAACACTGGGTAGGTGCCTCAGTAAACACATGATCATTTCATTTAACACTGACACATTCTTGATATCAGACGTTTGAATCTGCTTTTTCGGTTCTCAGGAGTAGATTTTCAAATAAAGAGGATGCTTGTGGACGGAGAGAAGACGAGCCTGCAGATATGGGACACAGCCGGGCAGGAGAGGTACTGCACTGACTCTTGTGGTTTTTCTTAAGGAAGTAGCAACAGGAAAAGATGGTGTTATTGATTATAAGTGTCAACTTTAAAGGTCCAGTGTGTAGGATTTAGGGGGCTAGATTAACAGAAATGGATTAGAATATAACAAGTATGTTTTTTGTAGTTTATAATATCCTGAAAATGAGAATCATTATTTTATATTTATATTTTATATGCCTTGTTCAGACCAAAGATTGGCGACAAGACGAGCTGAAACAGGCAACTATTTACAACGCACTGTTCTGCAGCGTTCTAAAAAAACCTGCAGGTTCACACCAATACAACAAGATGAGGCGGTATATCATCTCTGTACAACAAATCTCTCTACTTCCATTGTGATTTCCAGTTTTTCAGGCTTATATTGTGGCTGAATATAATTTGTGGCTTCTTAAAATATGAATGAGGATAGTGATAGTAAGATACTGGCTACAGCTGCATTTGTAGTAGTGATGAAACAGTGAAAAACCGAAACAAAACCAGCATCAGATGGACTGTATTCATAATAAATATGCCACAATGATATGAATAACCAGTGGCAATTAATCAGTCAGTGAGAATGTGTGTGCGTGAGGGGGCATAAGCACATACAGCGAGCAGCAGCAATAACCCACCGTCCGACACCAGCACACCGTGAGGACAGAAACAGAGGTGGGGACGGAGCCCCTGCCGCAGCAAGCGAATATGCCATCTGCAGTCATTTTGATTTGACCAACAGACTTCACTACAAGCTGATTAGCTGTTAAAACAGGCGAGGTGTTTTACGTTCTAAAACCAACATTTCTTGTGATTATAGGTTTCGTAGTATTGCCAGATCCTATTTCCGTAAAGCTCACGGAGTCCTGCTCCTCTACGACGTCACCTCAGAAAGCAGCTTTCTCAACGTCAGAGCCTGGGTGGATCAGATTCAGGTAACTAATTGAAAATGCTGATTCAACATTTGTCAATCAGCATTTTCAATTATGTTGAATGAATGACAAAAAATGAACTGGCCCTAAAAGCAGGATTATATTTTACAATGTCCTTGTTTTTATGCAGGATTCAACGGACGACAAAATCCCCATGTGTGTTATTGGAAACAAGGTGGACCTCCGAGAGGAGCTTCCAGAGGGGAGCTGTGTGAGCAGTATGCACGGAGAGAAGTTGGCCAAGGTGAGTAACTTTTCATTCCACATGATGAAAGAGTGTTTACGCAGACGCCCGGCCTCCCAGGTGTCTAAATAAACTGACTTCAGTCAGGTATGTCGACGCTTTGCTTGCAGGCATACGGTGCCTTGTTCTGCGAAACGAGTGCCAAAGAGGGAACCAACGTCGTGGAGACCGTGCTTCATCTAGCGAGGTAGGAGGCCGTTGAGAGAGAGAGAGTGAGTGAGTTTGAGTTTTTCCTCCAAAAACCATGGCAGCACTTAGACTTGTTTTCCATTCCCACAGAGAAGTAAAGAAAAATGTCAAACTGAGGCGGCAGTCAGATTCTCAGGTCAGACTGAGTCAATCCAACCCAAAGAAGACTCTCAACGCCTGCTGCGGACTGTAGATGGTTGATATCAGTAGACACGATGGAGCAGAGAAATGATTCTATTTCTTCATGAAGAACAATTTTCTTATGTTTTAACCTTTAGAATATTTAACTCTCAAACCTTTAATATATTTTCATAAATGTTAATTCTCTGATCAAAATGAAGGCTTCAGTTGCACATATAAATGCATGTAATGTAATCATGCATATATTTTTCTTAGGTTTTGTATTTTTTAGGTAGTAAAGTCATTTTATAAAGTAAATAAATTGACTTAGATTTAAGTCAGTTTTTAACTGTCAGCCAGTAAAAAATAGTCTTTTTAAATTAATGCACTTTTTTCTGTTTGAGACGAAACTTGATTCTTGAAAAGACAAAACAAAAAGACAAATTCATTTTTTTGAAACATTTTTATTAAGCATCAGTGTAAGCAATATTACATCGCAGTTTAACGCCTTTAATTATTGGAGCACTGATAGAATTTTTCTCAGAATTGCAATGTTAAAGGGACAGTTCACCCCAAAATTGAAAAACATATTTCTCCTCAGACCTGTGGTGCTGTTTATCAGTCTAGATTGTTTTGGTGTGAGTTGCATGTGTCCTTCTGCACAGGGTGTAGTTCAGTAGAAAGAAAATAGTTCCTACATGAAACTGCTCACAACAAGGTCTGTGGATTATCTTGAGTAACCAGGTCATGATTTCTGCACAGACATTAACGTTGAGTTTTTCAATTGTAATTTTTTGGTAGAGCACCACAAGCATCTTGAGTGCCATCTTGTTCCATTAAATTCAAGAGTAGGCAGACATCTATACGGCCAACATCTCCAACACTCAGCAACTCACACCAAAACAAACTAGACCAGTGGTTCCCAACTGGTGCATCAACAGGGTCCAGATTTCTCCTCACTCATTAGTTCAAGATCCATCATACTTGCCATGTCGTCTAGCTAGTTTGCTGTCTCTGTTAAGTAGCTGTCTGTTATTCACTCACTGTAAAGCAGGAAACAGCACTTCAAAATCAAAGCTCTGTGCCAAAAATTCACTGTACTTAAAAATAGGGTGTGTTATTTTACAAACTTGACACGTTTGCGAGTCACTTGCGGTCCATACGGAATGGACCCGAGACCCACTTTTGGACTGCGACAAAGCAGTTGGGAACCACTGATCTAGACTGATAAATAGCACTGCAGGTAAAACGAAAAACATTTTTGATAACGAGGTTAGCTGTCTCTTTAAAAATGATTTCCATTCACTGAAAATCTGAATCTTAACAAAACTTCAAGGGCCAGTTTTTTGTCTTTTTTCTTTTTTTTTTTTCTCCTGCGTATCTGTGATACCAATATATTTTCCAGGCCCCTTTTTTTATATGTCAAACAGAAATGTAATCCCTTCTCCAAATAAAACAGATGTAACTGGAAAGATGACTGTTAGAAACTTCTGTCTTATCGATCAGCAGAAATCTCTGCTGGTCTTCACTTGATGCTGCACTAGACTGGTTTTCATAAATACTTCACACCTTTCAATGAAACATTTTTCTACCATGTAAAACTCGGCATAAATACAACTTGAGGCTGCGGTGCTGCTGCGTTGCAAACCTTCTTGTGTCTTCACAGTAGAAACTCTTTTTAATGAACTAATGAGAAACAAACTCCGCACCTGCACACAATGATTTTCAAAGTGCTTCCTGTAGAGGATTTCAGTTTCTTGCAGTCAGTATCATTGACGTCACTAAGCTGCCCAAGGCCACAATCAAAGCTCCGAGTATAAACTTCCAGGAAATTCCCTGTAATACAACAGTCAGTCAAAACGCAGCCTGTTGGTCATTAGAGTAAAAACATATTGGAGATATTTCTGTCATGACTTACAGATCGTTTCTTCTTAGAAGGAATCAGGAAAGGTGCGATATTTTCTCCAAGCATCTCTGCTGGTTTAGCTCTCCATTCCTGAGTGTCTTTGCCTCCTGATTGTCTTTTGACGAGTTTAGATAACTCGACGTGGATCGCCTAAAGAGAAGCAGAGGGAAAAACAAACTGTTAAAGGCTGCTTTCTGTCAATCTAATGAAGGAAATGAAATATTGAATAATAAAAGGTGAAGCTGCAGTTTTGAAAATGTCCAGCAGGTGAGAGCAGAGGTCTGAAACACAGATCTTACAAAGTAGACCAACAAGTAATGATAATCACTTTTAATTTAGCTTTTAAATGCACTTTAAACTTCATCCTGAATGTTCATACACATGACTTGATATCACATTTTCTAAGTATCTAAATTGGATTCATTGTTAGAGGTTGTAATTTGTCATAGTGTATAAAATAAAGCTAAATGCACTCCTGTTTGCACTTCTTAACACTCTCTGTTCTGTCTTTTTTGGGGATCTACAGACTGCACTACAGCAGAGCAGCTAAATCAGTTTTCTCCAAAGTATTTAATCCAGCATTGAGACAAGGGTGTAATTACCAAGCAGCAGATATTTTCGTTTTGTCTAGACAAGACCAGACATATTTGTGACGGTGGCAGTGTGCCCTATAGGTCAGGTCATTGTAACACTGGCAGACTGTGTCTTGTAAACAAATGAAGGAAACGCACTCCTCACTCTCCGTGAACTCTTCTGAATCAAAGCCGGGCTGCAGTGAACTAAAATACTGCTCAGAAACTGACATTATCGTCCATTTTTGTTGTGATGAACTGTACACCAGAGTAGTTATGTTAATTATAGTGCGGTGTCTATATAGTAGCTGCAAGCGTGATTCTGGCTCCATCTTACCTTCATTTTACTACTTTTGGAGCGCAGGGCTTTACAGTGACGATATTTAGCTCATATAACGTGTTATTTTTAAGTTAGCTGGACAACTCTGAGCAGTGTGGTCACATCTGTAGACTGCCAGATGTGCAGTTTGCCCGGTCCTCTGTGGAGGATTTGGCAGATTAGACGAACCACACAAACAAGACAGGACAGGCCTTTAACAGAAGGAGCTCACTGGGATCCTCTCTAATGTGCAAACAACTTCTTTTTAAGTCTGTGAACTTTCGTGATATATTGTAACTTAGAGCTGTAGTTGGTAACTTATTAAAATCATAATAACTTGTCATATTTTCTAAAACTGTTACATTCACTGTTGCCTTCTAGTGCTTCTAATGGCCTTACTGCATGTTAACGAAAATCCAATCACAGCTGAGAGTCTCTATCACAGGTGTCAATTATTGTTTGTGAACTGTGGTCAAACCGTCAAACTAGGCAGCTCTGATCAAATATGAATCAATTTCTCCCAATTTTTTCCTATTTCTCACATCAGATGTTTTCAGAAACGCATTTTAGTGTTCAGTTTAGCTGTAAAATGAGAAAGTCTGTGAGCCAGCCACCACATTGGAAACAGTCAAGCTGAAACCAAACACCGGCCAGAGCAAACTTTCTCATTTAACAGCTAAACTGTACATCATAATATGTCACTGAAAACATTTGAGACAAGAAATAGGCAATGCAGTCATAGAATCTTGATTCATATTTAAACAGTGCTGCTTAGTTTGACAGTGGTGGCTGCAGTTCACAAGCCATGATTGACAGCAGCATTGGAGACTCCTCGACTGGTTGTTTTTTGTGTGCCATTGTCAGTTCTAGCAAATGCCATTGGAGGCAGTAGAAGGGGAGGAAGGACATCATTTTTTTTGCAGACTGTCTCATGTACTTCTCTCAGAGTACAGTGACAGTTTCAGCAAATTATATCATATAAAAAAAGCAGTTAACCAACTGCAGCTTTAATGTGGTTGTAAATTAGATTTGTTTTATTTTGGTCTGTCTGTTGTATTTTAATTTGGGACAAAAAATTGGAGGCAGCATGGTGGTACAGTGGTTAGCATTGTCGCCACACAGCAAGAGGGTTCCTGGTTTGAACCCGTGTCGGGGAGCCCTTCTGTGTGGAGTTTGCATGCGTGTAGGCTTCCTCCCACAGTCCAAAGACATGCAGGTTACTTGGTGACTCTAAATTGTCCATAGGTGTGAATGTGAGTGTGAATGGTTGTCTGTCTGTATGTGTCAGCCCTGTGATAATCTGGTGACCTGTCCAGGGTGTACCCTGCACCCAATGACAGCTGGGATAGGCTCCAGCACCCCGCGACCTCCAGATAAGTTTGAAAAAGTTTGAGTTCCACATTCAATTAGATAACTGAGGGATTGTGGGTGTTTTTGCTTGTTTCTGAATACATTTATATTCATTATAGACGTTATATTGTTTCTTCATGAACTGAATCATTCCGTCAGCTGATGTAAATTGGTGCATAGAGGAATAATTTGGGTCATGTTTGTATAGATTTTTTGTCACTGTCAGCCCACTACTGGTTCAGACTGAAATATCTAGACATCTATTGCAGCAATTCGAAAATGGGGGTACAGGTGCCTCTAGGGATACTTTGGAGTACTGCAGGGAGTACTTAGGGAGTTAATTAAAATTTGATCAGTCATGCATAATTCCTAAAATAATTATAGTGTAATAAGCTCAACAAAAAAATATAAATGTTCGATAAACCACATTATATGTTCAATATTACCAGACTTAAATGCTGTAAACTGTCAACTGCTGCAATAAACAGTTACGTTCACTGTGTTTCTACCACAAAAAAAAAAAAAAGGTTTGGTGCTGGTCAGGAGACACTCAGCTGAACAAATATTATACAAATATATATTTTTTGTACGATATCATTTATCAAATAATTGAGTTTAAGAAGTTTAAGAAGCACTGATCTATAAATGCATTGCCATGAAATTTGGTACCAACATTCACATCCCCCTCAGGATAAACTGTAATACATTTGTTGATCCCTTCACATGTCACCTAACGCCATTATCAGATCTGTTCCCAAGTGCTCACTCTTTGAGAATGTGTCTCTTAATTTCAAGCAACATTATAAGAGATTGATAAGGGATATCCTCATAGTTCAAATTGCAAAACAATGAAGGGTGGTGAACGTTTCAAATACAGTTTGAATAATAAAAATTCACCCAGCCACTGTGGAGATATCTGACAAATTTTAGGGCACATGTTTCAAAGAGTAAAACATCAGTAGGCTGCTGCAGGCGGCTGATGTCAACACACTTACCCAAGGAAACATAAATTAAATATTTGAACATAAAATCCTTTAAAAGTTCTTAATGTGCCAGATTAAGATAACTTTGGGCTGGGAAAGGCAGGATCTTGGGACCATAGATTCATTCACATGTTAACATGCTGATGTTTAGAAAGCCATTAGCGTGGTTGTAGACTCTTAGTGTTGTTGAATAAAGTTTATGTTGGATAAACATGCTGTCTGTGTATTTCTTTCTGAGTCTTTTATTTTATTTTCTTAGATAAAGAATGTACTGTGTTTCTTTTTATCCTACTCAATGTGAAGTGTCTTTGAGGACTCTGAAAAGCGCTATATAACTGTTTTGTTTGATTTATTTATTCATTTATTTATTTGAGGTGTTGGATATCTCCTGGGACACTGCTTATATTTGTATGAGGTCATTATATTATCACATGCTGGTTGTTATACTTGACAGTGTTTCTTAAGCATTGAAATTAAAATTCTGACTTTATTTTTAACTTTTTACCACAACTTTGTAGTTTTTGTTATGAAGGCACAAATGTCATTGTCCACCATTTATTTGTATTGATTGGTAGATTCGGTGGCTGTAATAATAATGGCTGCCTAATTTTAGAATGACCTTTCCTCTGTGTGAGCGACGGATGGGACTCACGGGCAGATTTAGAGGAAAGGGGGGGGGGGGCAGCTCACCAACATAATCTCACCTTGGTGGCCGGCTCCAGTTTCAATGCCTTCTTTAGCACCTCCATCGCCTCTTTGTATTGGCCCATGTCTGACAACAGCTGAAAGAGAATATAAAAACCTTACAGCAGGAGCAGCGCTGCTGGAACCATAAATCACAACAGGCAGAGAACAGAGAGCAATAATGTAGCACCTATTTCTTCCTATAAAATAATTAAATCTAATCTCATATTAAACAAATTTCTCTTCCTTCCAGGAACTCTGGCCGCAATAATCATTTATGGGTTGATAAGTATCAAATGAGATGCAGTGATGTTGTCTTTCAGCAGGAGGACTCTCACCTTTCCCGCCCTGAAAAGGGACTTGACGTTGTTTGGCTCAAGGGTCAGAACGTCCCGGCTGGTGTGCAGCGCCTTATCAAACTGCTCCAGTTTGAGCTGAGCGGTGGCCAGGTTGTTCAAACACTTCACCCGGTAGTCCCGCACCTCCTCCTCCTCTGCCTCCACGCCACCGTCACTACCATCTGGACAGAGAGACACGACCTTCAACATCTGCTCTACTGTGGACGTTTTATTGAGTCTATTTGTGACAAAACACTGTACGCTCAAAAACAGAGATTAGTTATCTAATCTTGAAGAGGACTTATTTAAAAATATTGCAGATAATAGAAAATATTTGGACTTTGAAAGAGGGAGGTCCCATAGGGTGTCATTATAGGGATAGTACATGTTGTGTTTTTTATACAGCTGGATATTGTATCACTGTCCCTGCTGTAACAATTGCATGGTTTCATCATTAGACCCAAGTAACAAGCAGGTTTGTAATACTTGGCACTGAGTATGATGGGTGATAAATGTCAGCAGTTCTGGGACCACATCTGTGTTGATGCACATCTTTTTGTAACAGTTGATATCTAAGATTTATTGTTGAATTTAATCCATTAAGGGTGCATTGCCAAGTTGGATTGTTTACAGCATCATTAAATAACTTTTCTTTTTTTTGGCCTCTAAGAGGCAACAACATCAAAACATTATCACCTCTTCAGTTGACATGGTGAATTTGTAAGCAAACAGTTGCCTATTTATACATCCAGCAGATACAGAAAATTATCATTAATTGGGGTCATGTGTCTGTCCAACTCATGAATCTGAGCTCAATATTCAAACTCCTTTTAACAGTGTTTTTGTTCTCTAACATCTCCTGACGTAAATATCTACCTATTGAACTGTTATATATTTTTTAAATAGCTCTACTCTGGAATAATCCAGTCTCTTCTCTACAAAACTGTCACTGTGTTGTTTGCATCAGCCACATGATGGGACAAAAACGGACTACAACGGAGAACCAAGACTATCATCAGAGTAAGTCATGGTATAGTATCTCATAAAGACAGGAAGTCCTAGTCTTTTATGACGTCAAAAATCATCAAAAATCGTCATAGTATAGTATGTCGTCCAAAATCATGAAAAAAAGCCATAGTATAGTATGTCGTCCAAAATCATGAAAAAAAGTCAGTGTAGTATGTCGACAGAAATCATGAAAAAAATCATAGTATAGTATGTCGTCCAAAATCATGAAAAAACGTCATAGTATAGTATGTCGTCCAAATTCATAAAAAATGTCATAGTATAGTATCTCGTGAAATATCATAAAAAAAGTCACAGTATAGCATGTCGTCAAAAATCATGAAAAAACGTCATAGTGTAGTATGTCGTCCAAAATTATGAAAAATGTCATAGTATAGTATGTCGTGAAATATCATAAAAAAAAGTCATAGTATAGTATGTTATCAAAAATCATGAAAAAAAGTCATAGTATATTATGTTATCAAAAATCATCAAAAAACGTCATAGTATAGTATGTCGTGAAATATCATAAAAAAACGTCATAGTATAGTATGTTATCAAAAATCATGAAAAAAAGTCATAGTATATTATGTTATCAAAAATCATCAAAAAACGTCATAGTATAGTATGTCGTGAAATATCATAAAAAAA